CAACTTGACTGTTTTAAATGGAAGAAGTTTACCATTCCTAATCCCAGGCAGGATATCTGCTAACCTAAGCCAAGAGCTTCCCCCGTAGTAGCAACTACTCCCCGGAAACTTAACTAATAGTATTTAGGAACATTAGGGCATATATAATTTTGTTTATGTGTAAGTTGTATGGAAAGCTGAGAAGTAACACAGTATGGTACTCCTGTAAGGCATGGCAAGATGCAGCTCACCTATTTTTAAGTCCTGCATCTTAGCCGTGCAAAGGAGAGGATGCTGCAGGGATGCTGGCACAAGCGTTGACCCTGTTGTCGGTATCGGAATGCAGGTGACCTTACCTATTTTATTTAAATTGAGCATGGTTTTAGGGCTGCTGGAACCACCAACTGGCTAGGCAATAACTGGGAATCTCAGAGATACTGCTTTATCCTGTGTTTATTTGTATTACGATTTAAAAAATAAATAAATAATTGAACTTACTTTGCTCTGGGTTGATGTACTAATCCTGGGATCTCTTTATTAGATTTAAGTCTTACATTTGAACTGGCACTTTTTTCCTGAAACACATAAGAGACACAACAGAGATACCGTCAGTATCTATGAAGCACACAAAGCACGACAGGCATTTGACATCACGGTGTCACACTGCGCTGGGTTCAGGCTCTTCCACCTGCACAACTGAATGGGAAAAGCTCATCAAAAATGAAATTAAAGGCAACACAATTGATGCAATGACCCCGAGCAGGCAATTTTTAAATGTCGCGGGCTCGGTGACCTGGGGAACTGCCTCTGGGTCACCGGGTGAAATCCATCCAGGACGTGTAGTGATCAAACCCCGTGCCGGCTAATAACTCTTCGATGGTCCACGGAAAACAAGGCGTGCAGCTGCGGCTTGGCTCCTCGTAGAGTCGTATCGGTAACACCAGCCACGGGCACCTTTAACGGAGCAAAGCCAAGCACTGAAAAGGCAGAGCCCCACTGTCACCCCAGACCTGTAGGTTTGCTCAGAACGGAGGTGAGAAACATTAGCATCATGTGGAAAACCGTAGGTGGGAGAAAGTAGACGTTAAACATGCCAGTGAGAAGAGCAGCAACGGCAGACTTGACCTGCTCAGCCAGAAAATTGGACACGAGGGGCCCAAGGAAGCAAACCAGAATATGTTTATAGACAAGAACACAACCGTGTCCTCCACAGGTGACCAAAGCCATTAAAAACAACTTAAAAAAGGCAAGGGGAGGGAAGAGTTTAGCTGAGAGCCAGCACTTCAAGATAACATCCTGTCCTCATGCCAAAAGCTTCTGCAAACTGCAGCTTAGTGCACACATGTATCTATTGTCTGCAAAAACCTGGAGAAGGATACAGCCCCTTCCAGATCTTCCCAGCGCTGTGTGTCAGGGAAAGCTGCTGGTGGAGATGGGAGAGAGCTGAGTCAAAGCTGAGAGCTCACCCGCTCCACGAATCCATCTGAATTTCGTAGGCACATCATGCCCATGACAATTTAAGAAACGTAAACCCAAGAATTAGTGCTTTTGTGGGTAATTTTGGTGGTTTTGTTTTGTCTTATTTAGTCTTTGAATGTCTGAATCACAGAACATGATTTTTAAGAGGGCTATGAAATCGCTGAATTTAAAAAAAAAAAAGAGGCTGTCTAGCAGTTAATATTTTAATGAATAATTCTACAAGGGCTGTAAACATCAACTGCCTCAGCATATTTAACACTGTTTAATGCATATCTTCTAATCCTCCTAAACAGAAAACGGTGTCGTGCGTGAAAACAACAGAGAGAAACAAGCCTTAACAAACGTCTCCGTATGTTTGTTACATCCCAGCAGCCACTGCCTGTCCCTGATCCCATGATGTCAAGTCAAAGCAGCAGAACAGAAGACGAAACCACTTGCCTTCAAACCATCTTCTAATTTTAACAGCGTTAACTGGGGATGACTACGTACATGCCTGTTGCGTGTGTGGTGAACATGCACGTAGTCATACAACTCGTATGAGATGACGTATGACTCGTACGACTGTCAGCAAAATCAAAAGAGAGGGACAGGTCTCATGGAGAAGACACCAAACCCAGAACTCAGCTAAATCCCAACCTCACGCAACAGGTGAGCCTTTATCCTCAAATCTGCTCCACCAGTTTGTTTGCCACAACGCAGAGGCACAAACCAGGTATGGTCCGCACTGCACATCTGGGATGGCACATCTGGACGCTCCAGTGGTAGGCACGTTCTGCAGCTGTAACGCCTCCTGCCCACCTACTGCAACACAAGGCGAATTTTGGGCTATCTTCTATCTCTGCATCCCATTACCCTGGAGCCGCAGACCTCTCCTCACCAAAAAACTGCTGCAAATCCACTGCCTCAATGAAAAAAGGGGAAGGGGAAGG